ATTCTCTTAACCGATGTCGACGCCACAAGAAAAATAACAACGAATCGATGTCGGATTTTCGAATACCTGCAACACTTTCAATGGCAAGACAATAAGAAAATCTTCTCAGACTATGGCAATGACAAGGAAAGTATCAGTCAGACAAAATGTTGAATATAATGAAAAGAAAACTACGGTATGGAAATGTATTTGAGCATTTACGTATTATAAGTGAAACCTTATCTCAAGCCAGAACAATTAGACTCTTAACTAGATACCAATTGACATGTGTGGGCTTTATGTTGCATTTACGTTGTTAACACCTGATTGGTTAGAGTGAATCAAAAGATAGTTGTCGTTTTTCGAATTGATGACTGATAGATGACAGTCTTTTCTAGAAAAGTCTATTACACATCGAAAAGAATACTTTTTGAATTTCTGTGACTCACCTTGGCATCTCACTTGAAGTCAAAGAAAATGAGAGAATAGAATCTGAACGAAGTGAGAATCACAAAAAAATCGAACATTAGAATCCCAAGAATGAACAAATTATTCAAAAAAAACAACAATCCTTTTTCCGCGAGGAACTTCGCCGCGTAAGATCTGAGAGGATAAGGAGTCAGTCAAGAACATATATTACTATTTTATAAGTAAATTTTGCAATTTAAAGAATGGCCAGCACAAAGAAGAACAGCAATGTATCTTTCCTGAAGATGATTCGAATACCGAAACAAAGTAGAATGGTTACCATCAGTATATATTGATACCATATGATTGTTGTTTGAAGTGTTCTATCGATAAAGTTGAGCTTTCATATCTTTAATTGTTTGCTCATTTGAGATAAGTTTCGTCATCAAACGCGAATCTTTCTCTTGAAGTTTTGAAAGAGAACAAGCGAGACATCATTCTTATTCAGATACCGATACTAAATCAAATACTCGACAATGAGACTTAGTTCCATTCCGTTTAGTTGGACGCCATCAAATGGTATATTTTTTTTTTACAAATGAATGTTCGCACAGATGTCATTGTGAAGCTAGATACCCGACAGAAATATACACTAGTAAAGTTATCACCACATTCTAAATTTCTGTTCAGATTGAAAACATAACTTACGGTGAGTTTCTAACCGATTGCTTTTAGTGTAGAATTGAATGCTGCGTTCACCAGAACTATGTTCAAAACGTATTATCAGGCAAAAAGCCCACTTTGCTTGCAGATACTGGTTTTCAGCAAGATTTCTGCAACATTTTCTGTCCGGATTCACTCTAAGATTTGGGTTCGTTTTCTTTTGCGCTTTAGTAGTTGCGGAATTATATCCTGAGTAGCATGGTTTGAAGTCAAGTTCTGGTGATCTCTAAAGTCGGATTTTAGCTGCTAATGCTTTCGCTGGCATCATCGGCTTGATCCTTTTTGGGATACTTTTGCCTGTTAGAAAAAAATTAGATCGTTACTATTAAATCATTGATTGTGTCACACAGATGGATGGCTAGACTTTTTTTTGTACTCATCTATTCTTCCGTTTTAGTTCATTGACGTTTTCATTTAATTGTTTGAAAGAATGGAAGCGCATAAGATCACAAGTCGACTCACCGGACGTTTTTCTCTCAGTCAAGTCAGATCGGATATGGAGAGTGTGGATGTGGTGTGAGTTCTGAGTAGGCCTTTTCTTTTCATTTGCATCCACACCACATTTACACCCTGCATAACACGTTTACATCATAAAATTTGCTCTTATAAATCAATAATTAAAGATCAACAATGATAAAATGAAAAACAATTTGATGAATGTGAAAAAGTTCAGTCAGATATTTTCGTCAGTAACATGCTATCTATACAAGTTAATGATTCATTTGACATAGTAAGAAAGCGAAATTTAGCAAAGATTTTATGTAGATTTATCCAACTAGTTTGCTTATATATCATTCGTAAATTAATTCACATCAATCAGTCTCAGAGACAAATAACACTTATGTGCATGTCAAAGAATATAACGAAGAGTATTTGTTCGCTATTTACTAGGACTAAAAATTGTTGTTAATGGTGGATTACGTGCACGTCAATTGAATAGATGTACACGCAGATGTTGTAATCGATGTAAATGATGTTCGATAAAAATTTGTTTAGAATGCTGACTAACATTAATCAATGAATGATTCAAAACAGTGAAATAATCACGAATTTTGGTACATTTTTTTGATCAACGTTTATGAAAATATGTTCTTCTGTTTAATATATTTATCATGGTGAATTTGAAAAACAATCTGTCATATGTTTCAGATCATTGTGAGTATAAGGCAATACAATTCATTATTTTCCCTCATGATAAAGAAGTTCTGTTTGATTTCACAACCACTTTTATTCTAAAAAAAATGGCATATATAACAATGTGATCAAATGTTGGCAAGTCGAATTGACAGTGTCAGAATCATTCTCGATATTACAGAAAAAATGAGTACATTGATATAAATAGTAGTGAAAGTGAAGTATTTATTTTTACCAAGTGAATCAAATATTTTGTTCAATTATTAGATGAAAAATAGATATACATTGATTTAAAAATGATGTGCATCGATTTATTAGTATATGCGTATGTTATTATTTTCAATGAGAAATTTAAAATTGCTATTTTGTATCTACGTGCGCATTTGTTTCTCATTCAGAAAGATCACAGCAAACATTTGATGGACTAGATTGAGTTAAATCGTATAATCAAGTGTGTAATTTTCTATCTTGTCAGTAAACGTCAACTCCGTGAGGTCTCTAAATGCCATTATTATGTATATCGACAACAAGGCGAATATGGCCTATCATTCGCCTGTCATTTAAGATTGCTCAATAGTTGCTAAAACTTATATTCATTCTATCGTCGAAATGTAGTTCGTGCTCGGATAAATGTAGTAAATATTTTGGATGATATTGGCAAATATAAACTTGTTCATCAGTAGTTGCCATTAGTTTCTCAATCGATGAACGACGATGATCTAAATATTCGATCAAGCAATCAATTCTTTGGATAGAAACATAATAACGTAACGCAATAAGATATTACCAATTGATTTAAGGAACATCCTTTACATATTCAAATATTTGAATCAGTCATAGTAGATATTTCTCTTACAATTAAGTGTTCACGATTGAATGCCATGATGACTAGCGAATGATGTTTTTGTGTTGTAATTGAATGTGATTATCGATGAACTTGTAGAGATGACCAGTTTCTATATCGTCAGTAGCAGTTCATACTCTAAACGATTTCAGAAGAAATGATGGAAAAATTCTCTTCCATTGGGTAAAAAATAAAGTGACGTGGCATCGTTCAATGCAAGGAATTGATGGAAGAAACCAGACATTCTTCTACCTGATTTGTCAAAGAAAATAGTGCGCGTTTTATACTGATAATTGTTCCAGTAATATTAAACGGATGTGATCATTTGTTCATTATATTTGATTCTACATGCTTCACGCAAACAGAAGTTTTTTTTCCGAGAAGATTCATGTTGATGGTTGTATCTAGGCATGCACCGAAGCCGGGTACAGACCGGGAATTCCGGGCTTGGTATTCCCTGAATTCGGTCGCTCCCGGGTTCGGCCATTCCCGGTATCTGAAATGTTGGATTTAGTTATTTATTTATTTAGGTCATTGCTAGACACTAAGAGAAGCCAGGAGCATACCAGGAATACCGAGCCCGAACTTCCCGGAGTTCGGTCATCCCCGGGTTCGATCATACCTGGCTTCTAAAGAAACCTAATGCAGACCAAAGTACATGAATCACTAAATCTAATGTTTTAGGTACCGAGAATGACCGAACACCGGGAACACCGAACCCGGGAATGACCGAACCCGGGTATGACCGAATACGGGAAATTTGGGCTCGGTGCATGCCTAGGTGTATCCACCGTTACATTGTTTATTGGCCGAGTAAATGTTGAGTAGGTATGTGTAAAAGAAAAGTCAATATCAGATTTAATGTGAAGATAATGATTATCACTTAGGATTGATTAGTCTATCAGAAAACGTTCCTCAATGGGTTGAAAGAATGAATTCTGGAATAAATTGTTTTGAATAAGTAAATTCTATTGTGTGTTATCATGTGTAATTGACTAAGTCAGTTGAGTCCAAAGAGTTCGAAGTAATATTTGAGCTGTTCTGAAACGATTCTCAGTAGGTTCGTTCAAGGGAATCAGAATAATATGTTTATGCCATTCGGCTTGAGAGTCTCTTGATTGATAATCGAGAATTTGTTCTCGAAAGACTCGAGCTTGTTCCATCGGATCGAAACGTCCAAAATTGAAATGCGAAAGAATGCATTCATATTGATTTTGTAGACCATTTAGAGCAGCTGGCACTTCCATTGGAAAACAGATAGTCTAACGAAAAAAAAGAAAAAGCTTATTTGTAAACACTCAAACAACTATTTTACTTTGCTATTGGCTAAACGTGTCAACTGATAAATTCTTAAACGACTATATGAACGTTGAAAGACGCCACCGACGGTTATCGCCAATTCTAGATGGGAGAAATTCCTATTGCAATAACGAGAAAGATCGATTAATACAATTTCATGATAGTTTCAAATCAGAGATGTCCATCGCGGCGCTACCGCTGCTGCGGTAGCGGTTATCGGTGCGGCAGCGGCACTTTATTTTTGGAAGACATTGCAAAAACTGCATGAATTTGCACAAAAATTGAGTGTCCACAGACGTAACACTCTAAGACTCAATGAAGCTCATCGATTAGTGACAAGAATTGTATTACAATACGTTCACAGCAATGAAATTCGAAACTTTTTTCGAGTACCATCGCGGCAGCGACACACTTTTTGGAAATTCATCGCGGCGCGGAAGAAAACAATTTTTTTTTAAATCATCACGGCGCGGCAGCGGCAGATTTCGAGCCGCGATGGACATCTCTGTTTCAAATACAAACATTGGTTTCCATTCAGTCAATTTAAATCCGATCATTCGTTGTTCTTCTTCTGCCAATGTGAGAATACTAGGAATCAATTGCGCAGAATTTTCTATAGTCCAGGGAAGAATAAAGACCCATTTTCGAATGAAAATCATTTTGTTCTGTTGATTATTGAAATCATATTCCTTGTTCAGTTCCATTTCGATAAGATTCAATCGATATTGATGATCTGAAAAAGAAAGTCAAGTCGAATGGTATCGAATCATTTTGATCATCATACCATTTGTTGAAGTAACCAATTTGGCATAATTAAAATAGAAGGCTGCAGCACAACCTAATCCCACACTAGTACATTGCTAGATAAAAAAAAAGAACAAATTTCAAAATGATTGTTGACGAATGAAAAAATACCTACCGTAGACAATTCTTGATCGAATTCAAATCGATTTTCGGATGAATTAGTATAATCTTTTGAGAGAATATTCATTTTATTGATATAACTAATCACTTCACCAATTTCATTCTCATTCCATTGTGGTGCTCGATGACGAAGATCTACGGTTAGATAAGGAATTGAACGAATGAATTGACACGGAAAATATTCAATAGCTTCGTTAACAAGAATGAAGATATCACGCATAGTATCATGCTACAATCAAAATGACAGTATTAATGTTTCAATTCGTTTGAAAATCATCAATCATTTTACTTGTATAATATTGTGTTGTGCAATTCGCATCATTTGACGATTGTCTTCATCGTCTTGTCGACCCGTACAAATGAAAATACTCTGTTCAGTCTCCCGATGATTGTGGGCTGAATAGACGAGATAACCGTATTGTGTTAATTTCTCTTTCAAATCCCTAAAAAATAAAAGAACAGTTAAGATTCTTGATTATGGCAACAAATTTTGCAAGACCTACGTGATTAGAGCTCTAATCGATTGATCTTCCTGTGCTTTTTCAGTAAAAAACAAGGCCAGACGTTTGCTCTGTTCATTAGGAACTATCTTTGTGTTGATCTAAATTTTAAAAAAAAATTCTGTAGTTTCTGGAACTGAAAAATAATTGTTCTCTGCGAAGAGTTGAGCATATTCGAGTTCGGCTCACATCAATAGATGTTGCTGTTGTCGGTGATGGTTCATAATATTCATCGATATCTTCCTTAATCTGTAACCAAAATGATTTAACATCATCATCTAAAAATTATTTTTCTCGATTTGAACGAAAAAAAAAAAAAAAAACTCCACATACAACCCATGGTGTTTGATGCATTATCATTAGATTCGTTCCCAGGTCGATATTGATCATCATCGAATTGAAGCAATCGAATCGATTCAGACCATGGATCGAGATCGATCAATCGTTGAAGCATATTGCAGAAACGTACATATTCATCACGTTTTTCCGCTCGATTAATCTGACCCATCTGATAGATTTGATCAAGAATCGACATAATGTATGGATATTCTGCACAGAAGAGATACTACATAACAAAAAAATTCATCTTGTTGATTATCCTCAATCGAAATATATTTTACTCGAATGACTTCGTCATTTTCATCTGCCACATCTATATAGTAATATGTTCGACGTAGATATCGGTCGTAGTGTATCATTTTAGCTGATCGAAGGACTTCTCTAAGAACGAAAGAAAAATAAAATGATCGAATAAGAGAAAATTTATTGTATTACTTATGAGCATAAGCCAACCGAATTCGATCGGGTTGGATTGGATCTCGAATTGTACCTTGTAGGAAAGTTTCTTGACTTTCTTGCCACCCGCCAGTATCGGCTTGTCCACAATCACATGAGGATTTCGCCAGCAAATAGTAGACTGGTGCAATGCGAATTTCTTTGATACGTTGTTGGTTGGCATTCAGACGATTAGCTTGATCACTAATATATTGATCATATGAATCTTTGCTGGTTTTCTTCATCGTACTGACGCCTAAAATCAAGACAAGGCATTGATGTTAGAATCAAAAGATTAACTTGCCTCCGTATCGATCCAATATGGTTGGTGCTCGAGTCATAGAAAAGACGAAACACTTTCTATCTGGTCTAGTTCGAATATGAAAAGTAGCCAATGGTGACTCATTGATTTCATTATGACCGTCCGATAAGCACGGTTCATACTCGATATTCCATTTTCGTACATCATCTCGAAGTCGGATCGACATGAGTGTATCGAAAGCCAAGTTTTCTTGCCAAATATAAATTTTCTGTACTCTGTCACCGAAATCACTGACACCATGAACACAAAATGTTACATGTGTTCGACCATTATCGATAATTTGAAGACTGTCCTTATCCAAAGTCAATGTTAAAGGATTCGACTGTATTGGAACAAGATGACTGGCCGTCACACTGGATGGATTCTTGGTTAGAAAGACATTTTCAATCAATGTGTACAAGACAATGAGAAGTGTTTGCGGAAGATTTTCTTCCAAAATGCTCGTATTGAAAGTCAAATCAAGAAAGAGACTATTTGCTAAAAATTCAAAATAATCCCAGTAGAATTTACGAAACTTATTTTCTACTCACTAGAACCAACTTGACGATTGAGATAGGAATAGTAATAGTTGAATATTAACCCACTACTATTACTGTTTACATGCAGAAGTAGAGGATAGAATGGTGATGGTAAATTTTGAGAACAAATCAATTGTTCAATGAATTTGTCAAAGTTCCATTCGAATTTTATAGAATTATAACGTGTGATTTGACTAGATTTAGCACCACGAAAATTACAGATAGTCATTGTATTGAGTTCTTCGACTGATGCATTATATAAACGAAATAGAAAACTTTCTAAATACCGACACCTTAATCGAATTTCTTGTTCTCGTGAAAGATCATTGTCCAAACAGATGAATATCATTGGAATTCCATCCTAAAAATGATGATATTTCATTGTTTATAAAAAAAAGAAAATTGATTAAGAAACTAACACTCTCAGAAAAGTTGTCATTGAACTGAATAACATCATTGATAATACCACTCCAAATAATTTCCAAAATGTAAGTAAAATCTACAAAGAATAAATCATCGATTGTTTCAAGTGAGAATTGTATTACTCACGTTTATCTCGTTCTCGCCGATGTGTATCACTGGTCAGTATCATTTTAGTCAATTGATCGCGAAAATTTCTAAATAAATTGACGAAAATAGATTTTTCCGAACGACAATCGATATTACCTGTATTGAGCTTTGATAAGATTTGACGCTCGTGGATGAATCAGTGGAAAATCAATCAAACGAATATTAACATTTTTTCCCATGATATTAGACAAACCATACTTGTTCATATCGTCACTAGACATCATTTTCAATCTACAAAGAAACCTTATATGATAGTAGTAAAACGATATTTTTTTATCACTTTAAAAATATTTCTTTCTACTGCTCTCCAACTCCATCTCAAATATATATATATTTGTTGATAACACTGGGTTTTTATAGTAGTAAAAGAAAGAAAAAAAAATAAAATTCCCATTGCAAGTCGGATTCTTTTTTTGTTTTGTTTTCCTTTTAAGATAAAATGCTTGTGCTTCTCACTCATAGCTGCTGATTAAGTAAATATTACTAAAAATAACTTTCATCCATATGGCATTTTAACCTTCGTTCTATTTCAATAGTTTTTCTATTGATGATGTTTATCTAATAAATAGCTTACCAAATTATACTCAATATACTTAGTTGATGTTTCTTTTTTTTAAATGTGAACATGTTTTCGACAGTTTCACGCAAGTGTTATTCAACCGATGGCTTTTTTCAATTCTCAATTTACATGTTCAGAATCGATGTAAACGAAGGAAAAACATCAAAGATCGATTGAGAACTATTTGCATAACCTACGATTCATATAAAAGAAGTATAGTAGTGAATCAACAACTGAATAAATTTATCGTGATAGTAACTACGTTACTCATTACACGACAGTTTTTCAAAAAAAAACAAATAGTATGCAATTTTCTCCACTATGAAAAAGAGAGAAAGAAGAAAAAAAAAAGACCTCTAACCAATAGCGTTAATATCATGCATAATGAATCACTCAGAGGTATATTGGCTCTCAAGCCATGACAACCAAATCATTTGAGTAATACGAATACAATGGTGAATGAATTACCGAATCAAGTGCATATTATATATTCAAGGATTACTGACAAAAGAAAACTTGATCAGTATAGATATTTTTAGAAGAAATAAACTTAGATTGACTTGTTCCTTGTACATACGATCAATTCGTTTTGTTCACCATTGATTTTTTTCATTGTATATTACCAAGATAAATGCAGTCTCAGTTAATTAAACCTGCTGATTCACATATACTACTCCTATTCCAATTCTCTAGAGATAGGTGATCACTGTACGCAGTCGATTGTCTCTTGAACTTGCTTGAGAAGAGTACGAACATATTTGGTTTCGAAACAATATAATCATCAATATTAATCATATTTTAATTGACAAAATAGAACGACGGAAGGGTGTGAATGTGAGTGAGTACGAAGAGAAGATTCACATCACATCCTCACTACATTTGCATTTAAATTTGTCAAACTATTATGTCAATACAATTCTTTTTCAACTTCACTACTATGATGACAAGTGTCTGAAGATATAGGAAAGAATGATTTCATCATTTTTACTCTGCTTTCTTTTCTTTCTGTGTAAACTACTTACAGATTCTCCATAGTGAACATGGAATATCTTTCAACAAACTATAAAATATAATTGATATCGTGTAAGGATGGAAAACCTATTTACCTACTCGCTCGTTTATTTGTATTGTACGACTGACTCAATAGATAAGCAGAATGACATTCTGCACATGTGGGGAAAAACCAACTGACGTTCCTTCGTCATAATTATTGCACAGGTGCATTTTTTCCCTTAGAAAAAAAGAAAAGCAGCATGTTTTCATTCGTGGGCATATTAATATTTGTAAGGAAGGGAAAGTTTAGCTACTCTAGTAGTCAACATTTTTTAACCGAATGTAAAACCTTCAATATAATCTTTTGCGTCCTATTTCTCCACGTGATTGGCAAGAGTAGAAACAAACAATAAGGTAAATCTTTCATCATACTATAATAAATTGTTCTACAATGAGAGCAATGACATTTCGCAGTACTACAAAATTGAGTATGACTTCAATGAGTAATTGGAATGATAAGATATGTTATCGTATAGAGACGAATGATCAATTGTAGTAATTAGAAATTGATGCAACTCTATGCCTAGAACCTCATTTGTCTGTGCGTCAGTAAAGGAGTACCGACTGTCTATTGAAACAAGACAAGTAGTGTGTTTATCCTATGACATCGATTGAATAAGAATGTGTTCTATTGATCGATCTTCGTTTCGGTGAAATCTTTGTTCTTCAAAAATAAATCGGTAATACGAATGTTCGACTACGATAGATTGTCATTTCTCATTATCATTCGGATCATTGTGGTAAACTTTCAATATATTTCATCAACGAATCTGAGGAGCTACCGGGACTTATTTATTTATTCAGGATTTATTAATTATGATGGTATTTTAGCACACCCACACCCACATCCACACCCTAAACCATGTCAGATTTTTTATGTACACAAGGAAAATGTTGTTTTCTAACTTTACTTTTTTAAAGTAAAATAAAGATAAAGTGCTACCCCTATACTTGAAGTCCTTCTCAGGCATCGAAAAAAATGAACTTCACCAAAACAACAATTTCCAAATGTAGACACCTCTGATTTTGCCCTCACATGGAATTATTAAAGTTCGCAATTGTGTTTTCGTATACAAAACGGATTTTCTGTGAAGTTCATTTTATTCAAAATCCCTGAGGGGCAGCTAAGCTGAAAAATTTACACTAAAAAATAAGTCTTAGAAACAATTTGAAACACACGTAGGTCAACTCAGTTTTTTTGTGCTAATTTCAAGTATGGCTTTTTTTCAAGTCAAACCTAGTATCTTCTATTCGAAAGTCAACGTATACTGTCCAAAAGAGTTCTCAAGTATAGTAAATATAGCACAGGTGGCTTACTAGACATTGAATTTGAAGTTGAAAATAGCATCATCAGAAAGAGCAAGTTGAATTACATATTCGATA